AAATATAATAAACTTAATCATTTAATTCTTGGTAAACTTTTATTTAGTTTAAAAATGATATAATAATTTTAAGACATAAAAATCCTAAAATTTTAACTTACTTATTTTAAACAATATATTTATAAACATAAATATTTACTATCTTATAAAATATGTTACGGTTATAATTTGTTCGAAAAATAAATTCATCCTATATCGTATTAAACTAATTTATTAATATATGAAAACTATTTAATATTTTAATTTTAATGTTAACTATTCAACTATCAGCTTAATATATATAGTTTATTAATTTAAATATATTGTTGGTATGAACTATTACCATTTTAATGCTATAATTTTTTAATTTCTAAGATTATTATACTTATTTGTTAATTTAAGTAGGATATTGAACAAAAAATATATATATATATATATAATTATTTAACAATATCATGAATAACAAAACACACACACACACACATATATATATATATATATATATATATATATATATATATTATCAAATGGTTCACAATAATTATAATATTTTATTATCAACTTTGTATAAAAACTATTATTTCATACTTACTAAGACTCACATATAAAGTTATTTTAGAGAGCATATATCTGAAATTATTTTAACTGTATAATTAGATTCTACATAATGTACGAGAATTCGCCTACTTCAATATATACATAATGATCTTTTTATAAACTATAAATGAATAAAGATAAAATCTTAAAGACCAAAATTAACATATGAAAGTTTGACACCATTTTGATGTAAATAAATAGTATAATATTAATTTGGTGTGATACTATTTATTTACACAAAAATAGTGCATCAAATAGAAGGGAAATGATTTACACCAAAATGGTGTAAAAAGAGATTTGGAATTTAGTTGGAGAAGAATGATTGAAGTGATTTTCTAAAATTTGAAGTTAAAAAGTTGTAGAAAGGCTTACTTAAATAGTACTCATTCTATCACATATTTATTGTCAACTGTTGACTTTTGAATTCTTTATTTTTCAACTTTGACCTTAAATATTTTTATTTGTGTTATAAATTATTTTATAAAACTTATAATAATGAAAAGACATTTAATACACAATCCATTCATAAATTTAACATCAAGTATAATCATTCAAAAACAAAAATATTTAAGGTCAAAGTTGAAGAATAAAGACTTCAAAAATCAAAAGTGGACAATAAATTTGGGACGGGGGTAGTATTAAACTTTGTAAAAACTATCATGAGATTCTCTAATGTGAGTTTGATTGATGTAATAAAAACTACATCAATTAAGATGAACATTTTTGACATATAGAATAAGCATCATACATTTATAACTTTCAGGTGATATCCAATTTTTAGGTTGTATGATGGAGATAATCAATGTCGATATAGGAAGGCCCGAGAAAGGGTGTGGAAGCAAGTTACTATTGGGAACACCACTTCGGATGTCCGAATATCGGAGTTTAACAAGATACACTTGTCGAGCTTCTCCTGTAACTATCTTCTTCTTTATCTTGTACTTTATGCTTTTCTAAGTGATGGAAGAAAAAGAACCTAGAGATTACCATTTCCATGTATTTAAAAAAATGAGTGATGAAACTAGAAGAGAGAAAAACTAACACGACAGTATAACACTAATACCGTAAATGGATGCATACATACTACCCTCCATGACAATATGACACTAAGACCATATGTTATGGTCTTCACGACCACAACCTCCTATCTCCACGTCACCATCATCGTCTTCCTCAACATAGTCAGGATGGTGCTCAACATCATCTTCTTCGTGGTCTGCAAGAGAGAAGAAGAAAGGAAGAGAGAGAAGAAGAGAGGAGAAGAGAGACCTGATTGGTCGTCCTCCTCCGTCCTCCCCAACACGAACCACCACGACCACGAGCCCACCCCAGACAGAAACAACCAAAATGACAGAGTAATCAACAAAGTATTTCACAACATTAGTTCCGTTTCCTAAAAACATTAACTTTAAGATCAGAAAAACTCAAACTCTAAAATAATTTTGGTGATATATTTATAATACTTAGTAAGAAGTAAATAATTTTTTTTATTATTATTATAAATAGAAGTCCATAGTTAATTATAATTTATACTAATTACGCTTTTTATAATATTGTCCCTATAGCCAATAGGTTTGTATAATGTAAAGGAGTGAAATTTTCGTTTTTGTGAACCTCTGAATTTGGGAAAGCTGTAGCTTTTCTCATATAGTTAGGGCGTTTTAATTGATAAACAAACTATTTTAGCAAGCTATGTATCTAACTGAAACGTAACATTTATTTTTAAACCTTTTTTTTTAAATCACAATTAGTTAATTAATAAGTAATTATATATCTTTCATTATTTAAAAAAAATATAAATAATACTTAATATTAATTGATTTATTACATAATTTCTTTATAAAACTCCAAATGTTATATGATTATGTCAGTTCTTATTTCTTTTTTTTTTACTAAATACGGAAAAAAATGTAATGAACAATTTTATGAGTGAAACAAAAGGCCGACAATCTCCTTGAAATACCAACGAATCAGGTTTTTAGTTGGAACGAAAACCGACCAAATTAAGCCAATTATTATTATTCAATCAAAACAATTCTCTCCATTGATTTCATCAATTTCTTTAATTATTGTACTAACTACTAAATATATTTTTAAATATGTAATAAATAGAATAACCATTGAAAAAACGAAAATATTGCATTCATTTTTCTAAATATATTTTTAAATATGTAATAAATAGAATAACCATTGAAAAAACGAAAATATTGCATTCATTTTTCTAAATATATAATTATATATAGATCTAATACATTTTAAGACAATCCATATTTTGTTTTTTCTTGAAATATATATGGAAGACATAATTAAATAATTTGATTGATTATTATTTTTTTTTAATTTCAAATTCATATATGATTGTTTGTTCGTTTAAAATATCCTCGTTATTAAATTCAAATTCATATTTGATTTTAATATAATTAAAATATTTATTTAGCAATTGCTTGTTCGTTTAAAATTTTATTTAGCAATTGCTTGTTCGTTTAAAATATCCTCGTTATTAGGCTTTTAAGACCTACTTCGTAGATCATAATACGATTGTTTATTAAAGAAGTTCCTTTTACGACCCAGGGTTAGATATGCAATGTAAACTAAAGTATGATTTGATTATGAAATATTGACATATGACATATGACAACTCAAAACCTTGAAGTTTACTCAACATGACAACTATTCAAACCAAAAAGAAACAGACTTTGTGGAGATCCCCACACAAAGCTTTATCTTCATATATGTATTTCTCTTTAAATCTTTTGATTAATTTGTTATATACGCAATGAAAGTGTTTTAACACTGTTATATTCTATGTGTTGGTTTTTTATTTTCCAGTCTTATATTGGTATGAATTCATCTATTTAATTTGATATCTAGTCATATTTTTAGTGTGAGGTTATGTCAATTGGGTAATGTTTTCGGCATGTTAGCTTTCAATTCGTATATATAATTTGTTTGGTTCATACTATATATATATATATATATATATATATATATATATATGTATATATATATATATAACATAACGTTTCAATTTAATTAATAGATTAATTTAAACATTTAAAAGAACATTGTGATGCCTATTTTTTTTTTCTCAAGCTACTACTATATCTCATTCTACTCAAAGTAACAATTATTATTATTGTCATTGTCCGTTGAAAATATGAAAAAGTACTTATTAACTAAGAGAAATTAAATATCTTTCTACTTTTTGTTCCTAAAAATCTTCTTACCCAATTAAATGATGACATGTGTCACATTTAATGTTCATTTAATGATATCTAAGTATAATAAAATGACACATGTAATCATTTAATTGGATAGGAGGATTTGTAGGAACAAAATTAGAAGGATATTTAATTTCTCATTAACTATATGTATATATACGTGACATTACACTGTATCGCCGTTGATAATGCGAAGATGGAATCACATTTTAATTTCTCGTGTAATTTTACACGCCAAGACGTCCGGTGAGGCACACTAAAGTTAATCTCATAATTTAAGAATCACGTTCATAGAATGATATTTGTGTAATACAACGTGATTTTCAAGTCAGATATGCTATCAAAGATTTGAAAACACAATGGTATACACGCTAGTAATGGACATAAGTATCTAACTTGAAGATATAGGTTCGCCCCAAAAAGGATGTACTATTTTTAATTATATATAGTAAGATCCCAATTACTCAAGATGATAAAATTGGTGGAATTAGGAAAAGAAATCAAAGGGTTTTCCCATTAAAGAAACTAATTGTTGATAAAACTAGTTTTGATTCGAGAATAATCGATAACATTAGAAGATAGAAAGAAAGATCGTTAAAATATTTGATTGAAGTTAATAGCTATACAAGCATTGTGAAAATATTGTTTTCCAAAATAAGACTTAACTTCATTTTGTAAGCATTAATTACTTAGATTTACTACAAATAAACTTGTTGCGTTTTATAAGTATAAGAAATATAATTACATTTACCAACAAATTAATATTTAAAAGACACACACATATACCCTTATTTCGTATATTATACCAATAAAAAGAAAATTATTGTCGGGTGTATGTACAACAGTACAAGTGAAAACTAATTCAGTATATGTTTGTAACCGAAGAAATTAATATCTATGTCACTAGCATATATAAAGTACAATAGTCAAACAGTCAATACAAGTATACAACTATTTAATTATCAAACATAACGTCAAACAAGGACCCCGAAATATTGGTTTCATTTCGGCTTTGTGTGTATAAAAGAAAGACAAGATGTCGCATTATTTACAAATGAAACTATTAAAATAAAGTTCAGTTTATATACGTATATTATCACTAAAATATGATATTGACACGTAACGCTCTTATCGCATGAAAATTAAATAAAAAAACACAATATCATTTAATTTGTGTAGCAAGTGTTGTAAAAGCAATATAATTCAGTGCACTATATGTGTATTGTTTGAGAGAGATAATGATGAAACCTGTTGTTGAAGAGCAAAGATGTGAGAAACACAGCCATAGACGGGGTCTTTAAGTCTCGCCTGAGCTTCATAACAAATGGTGACCACCGCATCATGCCGCCTTTGAACAGGAAGATGGAACAAGAGTTTAGAGACATTGCTTGCTCCAAACACTTTATGCACGGCCGCAAAATGGGCTGCACCTTGATCAGAATCGAAATAGGGTGCAAATATACACCCTGCAACGCATTTCCTCCTCAAGAACTTGCAAGCTCCGCAAGGCCCGCCACCACTACTTCCACCGCCGCCGCCGCCACTGGTGCTACTAGTGCTAGGATTTGAACTCATTTTGATGTGGGTTTTCTGGGTTTTATAGAATATTGAACATGGGATAATTAGGGTTTGTGATCAGAGAGAGAGAGAGAGAGAGAGAGAGAGAGAGAGAGAGAGAGAGAGAGAGAGAGAGAGAGAGAGAGAGAGAGAGAGAGAGAGAGAGAGAGAGAGAGAGAGAGAGACAGAGAATTTAGGGTTTGGTGTGTGGTTTGAGAAGAGAGGGATTATAAGAAGAAAATAAAAGCTTTGAAGGCACGCCAAGAAGCAAACCCGAAATTAGACAGATTGCGTGAAGCAAACATACCATACAACCAGCTGCTTATTCTTCATCTCGTGAACTCGGATACACAACTCCCATGCTTTCTCTCTCTAGATTTCTCTCTCTATATATGTATGTATAGTATAGGTACGTATATATATGTATATCTTTTGATGATGAGTTGGTATATATGCATATCTATAGATACAAGATTGCTTTACACAACAAAAGATGTAAAGAAATTTTACTTTATGTCATTATGAATTCGACAAATGCACTTTGCACCCTATACTTTAATGTTTAGAATGATAGTCCTCAACTATACAATAATCAAATTGTCAATTTAAGGAATTTAAACATCACACCCTTGCTAATGATAACTCGGATTTAATATCCGTTGCTAGCTAGTCTGACAGTACTTATAAAAATAAAATTTTAATTCAAGATTACATCTTTAGACATCGTGATTAGCGTATCCCATTTTGTTTTCTATGTTTATGACTTGATTTTATCAAAACCATCCCAACACTACTAGAAAAGGAAGGCATTCCTGACGGCCAAATTCGCCGATATTCCGTCGGAGATGGCTTTTACGACGGTCTTCAGGCCATCGGGTTTTAGCGTGTGGATAACCTTTACAAACGAATTGCCAACAAATATACCGACGAAATACCGAAATCTAAGCTAGTCGTTAATTTACCAATTGAAGACCGACGACTTTATTTACCGACAGACTATTTTACCAAGGGGTAGTGGTGTTCATAGATGGCTAAACGAACCGGAATTACATTTCGGAAGGTTAATCGGAACTATCGGTACAATAATATCATGAACCTAAACCTAAACGTATTTATAGTTGAGACAAGGTACAATCGTTCGGTACAAGTTATAGTAAGAGGTGACTCAAACCACTCTTCAACGTGAAAGATTTCATTTGCTTTTATTTCAGCTTCGGTAACTTCAAATACACCTATTGGTTTTGTCTTGATAACCACCCACTTGTCTTTCATCTCCATTTTTACTAAAGTGTACGATGTATAAAACAATTGTAATGCTTGTGATTCAAAGAAAAAGGGGTCATAGGTTTGAAGTTAGGACTTGGGTTTGACATCAATCAACTTTGTTAATTATTACAATCTTCATCTTTATCAAACCAAGTACATTTAAATAGTACAACAGTCGAGGGTCTGCTATCATAATACTTAAATCCAAAACTCTCGAGCCATATGTCATAGTAGTTTGACTCTTTGGTATTATAAATCCCATTCACACATGTTATATGTAACGTCCTAAAAATAAGATTAAAAATTTCATTTTTCAATTAATAAAACAATATCCCAAAACATCATCACAAATCCCAAGTGAAAAAAATTGTATCAAAAACATCATAAAATATCAGAGTTATCATGAAAAGAGGAACAATATCGTGTGTGCACTGCAACCACTCCAAGCTCTTCCCTTTTGCACCGGAAGTACCTGAAACATAAACCGAAATCCGTAAGCACGAAACTTAGTAAGTTTGCCCCAAATACTACATACCACACATCTCAAACATCTAATGGGCCCCACCCGATGAGTGTAACGGGCCCCACCCTAAATCGCATAACAGGTTCCGCCCACTAAGTATAACGGGTGTCGCCCTAACTCGCATAACAGGCATTGCCCACTGAGTATAGTGGGCATCGCCCTAACTTGCATAACGAGCCCCGCCCATCATACAAACATACAAGTATAACAAGTAATAGCATACACATTACCCATTGGGTCCCGCCCACTAAGAATACAAGTACATGCACATGCAAGAGTCATGCATACATCTAGCACCCTAACATAATAAACTATGGTTCGGCATTGGTGCCTTCGACCTGCTAAACACAGTGAGGAAGACTCACCTCAGACTGCTGAATCTCACAGATAAATCTTTAGTTGCTGGTCCGAAAATCATTGCGCTATCATCATACAATAACATCCAATTAATAATTGGATCCCGACTCATACTAAGAGTCCAAACTAGGGTAAAATACCATTTTACCCTTTACCTAACTTGGACCAAGGCCAAAGCCCAAACCAATTACTCAAAAAGGCACAATTCCATAAATAGACACCCAAAGCCCAATTATGGCCCAATCTTACAAATTAGGCCCAAACCTATTCGTGGGCCTTCATCCAAAAGAGTCCAAACTAGAAATATGATGGCCCAAACAAAGCCCTAAACTCCTAAGGTGTAACGACCCAAATTTCCAAATAAAATTTTCATTTTTAAATAACCAAAACATTTCCATAAAATATGAAATCTCAGAGATAATTGTTTTCAAAAATCATAACATCAACATTTTTATTTCAAATATCAGAGTGTCCCCATATAAAATATCGGAGAGTGCACGTCGTGCCATTAAGCATTGCCCTTGCCCTTAGGCTCAGAAGTACCTGAAACAAATCAACAAACTGTAAGTTAATGCTTAGTAAGTTCCCTAGAGCATACCCCACACAATCCACATAATCACATAATCCATACTAGCTATAAAGCTACATAAACCACATAAGCTATGGATACAACATATAGGGATGCCCTAGAAACCCTCCACGGTCTTACTCCAGGTGCCTCGGGAACCCCCAAGGTCTTAGCCCAAGGATGCCCTGGAAACCCTCCCGGGTCTTACTCCGGGTGCCTCGGGAACCCCCCGAGGTCTTAACCCAAGGATGCCCTGGAAACCCGCCAAGGTCTTACACCCAAGTGCCTCGGGAACCCCCCGAGGTCTTTGCTAAGGATGCCTTGGAAACCCTCCAAGGTCTTACACATAAGTGCCTCAGGACCCCCCCGAGGTCTTTCATGCAAGTATCAAAAATAACTAGCATACCACATATCCCATAACCAACTAGGATATTACATAACAAAGAATGGGTCGGCCTTGGTGGCTTATGTTGGGTTTTATGTACTCTGACAATCCTATGGTGCACATACAACCCTAATTCTTTGGATCTAAGTTTTCTCTAATTATACATGCAATAAACATTTTCCAAAGCATGAATCCTAAACTAGCATGCAAGGTGATATTTGAATCATAAAAACTAGTTAGAATATTACCTTGTGTAGTAGCTTAAATAACTTGGCCTCAAGAAAGCTTAGCACCCCAAGTGTGATGCCTCAAATGGAATCACAAAACACAATGAACAATTTAGGATGAATATGGAGAGGTTATGGAGACAAGAAATCAGATTTTACTCTTGGAATAACAAGTGTAACCGATTTTAGGCTTGTAGATTCATATATATATATATATATATATATATATATATATATATATATATATATATGTGTGTGTGTGTGTGTGTGTGTGTGTCTGTGTGTGTGTGTGTGTAGAATATCAAGGGTCATGTGTAACCCTAATCCATACCCATAAGCTTATGATCCACCCATTTGATTTGGATAAATACTTCATGGATTAACCCATAAGCCCATCATAAATCAAACCATGGATCATTAGCCCAACTCATATGTATCAATTTAATTAGTCTCTTTTGATCACAAAATTAATTCTTAAAATAATTCTTGATCAATACTAATTAAATAATATGATTCCTCAATTAATATATTATACTTATAATATATTAATAAATCATAATTAACCTCTTACCCAACTATCCTTCCTAACATATTGCTTTGATGAATGTAACCCAAATAGACCATGCTACTATCGTTTCAAGTACATTCCAATTATAGTTATGGGCTTAGACACATTTTACAACAATCTCCCACTTGGATAAGTCTAATAATGTAATTGCCTATGTAACTTAAATTTCGATTAGCAATCGTAGCTCTCAAAATGCTGTTTTCGAACTCTGATGCGTCCATTAGATAAGTGATCATATAATCCTCTATTCTACAAGATATCGTGTGGACAAACACATGGAATTAAAGTCATACTCATTGTCCAACATTTTGTTTCCCGATTTCCGATTTGTTCGACATAAAACTTAATTGAACACATCAATAGAGTTCTGACCGCGCCCGACACATAAGTCAAAACAAAATCATCGAGGGGCCCAAGATATCGCTTTTAATCCTCATAGGATAAAAGGAACATATAAACTTCGACTTATATGCTTGTACTAACTATTCATTGAATCGTACATAACAACACATTTTATAACATCGAGTTACTGATGCGGTTTTGCACTATTAATGTACAATCAACAAATAATCGCCAACTCATATATCTTGGTTTGAAGATTATACAATATTATCGTCTCACAATCACTCGTGATAAATTCCATGAAGTGATATGTGAGTGTGGGTTTAGTCCAATACTCAAATCTTATTTTAAGAGCACTCATGAATGTTTGTAGCAATCTTTTGCAATGTCTAACACCTTAGACAATCATACAAAAACCCATTCATGACAGTCTTCTTTCATGACCTACTTCCAAAGTATGATCGACTGTTGATAATTTGAATAATCTTATTATTCTGGAAGTCAAAACATGCAAAATGAAACAATAGTAAATAATCGACACAAGACAGTAACACTACTTATAAATAAAAAACACCTTTTATTCAATCATCAAATGTCAATTACATTTTAGCTATTACAAGTTTCTAAAATGCTATATGATCACTAAAACAAATATTGTCCTTCAGCCCGACACTACTAGCGTGTTGCAAGTGCTTAACCCTACTCAGACCCTTTGTAAGGGGATCTGCTGGATTCTCTTCTGACGATACCCTCTTAACCACGAGAAGTCCCTCTTCTACTTG